CTAAGGTGCCACAAGTACTCCTTTTCTTTTTGCGAATACAGATTAACACGGCTGTTACTCTGAAACCTATCCTGAAGGACGATCCCTCAGTCTCACAGATCTTGGGAGACAGGCCAATCCTCGCTTATAGACAGCCCCCCAACCTGAAGCAAATACTCACCAGCAATGGTAGGAGGTTTAAAACAAATAAAAGGAAGTTCTTCTTCGCCCAGCGCACAGTCAACCTGTGGAACTCCTTGCCTGAGGAGGTTGTGAAGGCTAGGAATATAACAGGGTTTAAAAGAGAACTGGATAAATTCCTGGAGGTTAAGTCCATTAATGGCTATTAGACAGGATGGGTAAGGAATGGTGTCCCTAGCCTCTGTTTCTCAGAGGGTGGAGATGGATGGCAGGAGAGAGATCACTGGATCATTACTTGTTCAGTTCACTCCCTCTGGGGCACCTGGCATTGGCCACTGTCGGTAGACAGGATATTGGGCTGGACTGACCTTTGGGTTGACCCAGTATGGCTATTCTTATGTTCTTTATGTTCTTAACCACACATCACACCACAAAAACACCAACCCAGGAACCTATCCTTGCAACAAAGCCCATTGCCAACTCTGTCCACATATCTATTCAAGGGACACCATCATAGGACCTAATCACATCAGCCACACCATCAGAGGCTCATTCACCTGCACATCTACCAATGTGATATGTGCCATCATGTGCCAGCAATGCCCCTCTGCCATGTACATTGGCCAAACCAGACAGTCATTTTTTCATGTTCTCTGTGTATATCTATCTTCCTACTGTATTTTTCACTACATGCATCCGATGAAGTGGGTTTTAGCCCACGAAAGCTTATGCCCAAATAAATTTGTTAGTCTCTAAGGTGCCACAAGTACTCCTCATTCTTTTTGCTGATTCAGACTAACACGGCTACCACTCTGAAAGAAAATATTGTGTTATTATGAAGAAACCTTTCTAGTTCATTAACCCAGTAGAATATATTTACATATTTTATTCATAATGAAATGTGAGTATTATATGAAGCTATATCCAACAGTTGATCTTGAAAGTATTTATAGTTTTGCAAGCTGTGGAAATAATAGCAACAGACCGTATGCATTAGAACACAAAACAGATTGCCTACAAGGATCAGCAAGGAATCATCCACACTCATTCCACATACAGGGATGCATAAATGGCTAAATATATGAGTTGGAGAACCGGGATTTGGAGGAAGAAGAATTCTTCCCTCCAAGACGGTCACTGCCAGAAGCTGAATGCCAGAGTAGATGAACTAGTGCTCTGTTCCAATCTAGCAAGGCCTACTTAGCTTATGCAGTTACTAAATATGTGCTATAATTTCATCTGAATTTCATCTGAATTTGCTCCAGTTAAAATTCATGCCCTCTACAATCTCTACGTCATTTAACAAAAGTTACAGAATACCACCTCTTCTATACAGTGTCATGTATACTACTCAAATTTTGAAGAATTAAGTATTTTAGAATGTCTGTCATAACATTTGCATCTAGTATGCTGCTGGTGTAGTTTTTATTTTGACTGGTTGCAATTTATTCTTGACATGTTTTTTTTATAATGCATTATTGGCTTTTACAGAATATTTTGCAGTAAATGCATTTGCCAAGATGAGAATGGTGTCATAAAAAGAAAGAATATAACTGACACCAACCAGTGATTGTGGACTAAATATGTCAAGCAAACATAGTCCAATTTACATTAATTGTACAAGCATCTATTTTTAAAAACACATGAAATAAGAGGAGGTTCCTAAGCCTGGGTACTAATATTGCCTTCCTATTAGTCTAAAATAGCTTCAATGAAAAAAGTAAAATGTTACAAATTATTAGGTCCTGGTATTCTGAAAATGTTGCAAAATGTTAGCAAATGTTAAAGTCTATTCTTGCTTCAGCAGACATTTACTTAACTTCCGTATACGTCAGTGAAATTACTGGTGCATATCAAGTGGGATTAGAAGCAGACCACTTGTACTCAGAATCTCTTCTCATAATATTTTAATATAATGTTAACATTTTACATCGCCATATTAAAGACTGGCATTCTGGGGCAATGAAGATATATCCATTTACATATAATCCTCAACAAAATCTTTGTTTAAAAAGAGTGAAAAATTGAAACCATGTTTCACTGGAGTCCAATTAACTCCTAGTGTCTGTTTGTGTATATATTATGTATATAAGTCCCTAATTAATTCACAATACTGCAGCAATTGCGGATCCCGCAATATTAAGCTTCCACAGCAATTTTGTCAGCCAGGCGGTGCTGAGAGCGTGGGGCTGACAACGGGAGTCCTGGCCATCAGCCTTCTGGGGCTGATAGTGGGAGCCCAGGGTCCTGCTGTCAGCCCCACACATGGCGGGGCTCCCGCTGTCAGCCCAGGCAGCTGACAGCCAGAGTCCTGGACATTACTGACTGTAATATAGTTGCAGCAAAATGTCTGGTTATCAAAAAAAATTAGCAGGCATAATATAATACTTGAGTGTTTATATTGTTCCAGCAAATTTTTCTTAAACAAATAGGTCTTCTCTGGCTTTTCCAAATTAACACAATCAATAAAGATCCATTATTACTTTTCCACAATTTTCCATGTCTTGTCCGCAACTCAGCTGCAATTATTTGACAATCATCTCGTGATTCAAGTATGGCCTAACATATATATTCATACAAAAAATTTGACCTCTCTTTAAAAAAAACAAAAACACAAGAATGTCTGGAAATGAACAGTGAAGAGACCCAACCAATTCGCCACAGACATATAATCCTTCATCACTCTTTATCAACCAACCTTAACTTGCCACCTTAAAATTTTCAAAAATATATGTAACGGCCAAAACAACAAGTTACAATTACACCCACCCACCCTCCCCGTCCCTTTAACCCTCTCATGCCTCCTCCAGTCCCCTGCACACGTCCCACTGTGCTTCCCCTGTCCTTTGCAACTTCCATGCCCTTGAGGAGCCCTACTCTCTCCTGCGTACCACTCCATGCACTTGCATTCTCACCCCTACCCCTTCCATTCAAAAAACAGGAAGCATGGCAACTTGCTACCTCACCAGGTACCTCTCAGTCCTCAGACCTACTATCATCGTCTGTCTGCTCTTCATGCTCTCTATATCTCTTCCCAAACTTCTAACTCACCACAATTCCCCCCCCCACCATGCTCCCACTTCCAATCCATGCCCCCCATGTACCCGTTTGTCCAGGTCAATCCAGCAAAACCAGAAACAAAAAGTCAGTTAATTATGAATTGTTTATAGTAAATACATTTTTCATATTATTAGTTTTAACAGTGCTCTTTATCGCCCCCTATAAGACTAAGAGGAACTTGTCTTCAGCAAAGCCAATAAAATGCAACCCCAGTTCTGCATGAGTCTCCACAGGAGCACAGAGTCCACCCAAGCAGATTCATTTGCAGGTTCAGGCCCAATTTCAGAGATTCTAAGTTCTTTTGAGACAAGACACAAAAAATCATTAGGAAACTTTTCAAATCTGACGGACAGGTGTTTGCAGTTCAGAACACCATAACTTTATAACTGCTCAGTTTTTAATTTTTTAAAAATTAAAAAAACAATTTCTCAGATAAAATCTACCAGAGTTGATGTGCAGGATGTAAAGATTCAGGAAGATTAGAGGGAAAAGCAAAGTGTACTAAAAATCAGGCTTATATTGGGAAGGTAGCTTAACTATGGTTATTACCGCTCCATAAATAAGGATTAACACTATAATTTATACAACTCAAAAAGGTATACAAAACAAGGCCTTGATCCTGCAAAAACTTATCCACCTATTTAACCTTCTGCATATTTAACTCAATGTGACTACTCACATGATTAAATTTAAGCACGTGCTTTTTTGCAGGATCAGTGACTGGACCCCTGATCTTTGTAAATTATTCCATGAGAAAAGACACCTTTGCAAAACCCCAGTGACTTCAAAGGAGCTCCCCATCTGCATCATGTGCCATATAGGCTGGGGGCCTCTCAAAAATAAACGAAAAGGAAATTCACAAACACCACTGGGCAGGGGGGTGAAAAGAAGTAACATTAGGTACAATTTTATCTGACAAAAAGCATGAAATTTACAGTCGAAACTGAAATCATGTGCTTAGGGTATCACAACTTTGTGCATGGGTATCACAGCTTCTGAGGTCCAGAAGGAGCCCCTCTGTTCTGAGATCCCCAATAAATATGTAATCCAAGACCTAAGCACACAGGATTGACTGAGAGGGACCCTGAGCTTTAGCTTTGATCTCCATGAAGATCACACACCTAAAAATCTCACACACGGTTTTTGTTATATTTTTTGCCTGTCTTTTGAGGAATGGTTGGGGAAACACAAACAACACCAGCATGTGATTAGACCACATGCCCAGAAACCTTCAGAGGGCTGAAGCAAGATTTATGTCAAGTTAGTCTTCTTGGGATCTTTTTCCCCCTAGCTATTGTAATTATAGACAATGGTAATTCAGCTTCCTAGATTCCTCATTCTACATGACACCGTTCTTTTTAAAATTGCAGACCTATTCATCGGGACAGAATTTGACAACAAAACAAAACCGAAATATGTTGGGGAGGGGTTGTGTCTTGTATGGTTTTAAGAGGGTTACTTTTTGCTTTTTAAAAAAAAACAGAGGCATTTCAATACCTCCTTACTTCACAATAACGACTGTAAACACAGAGTAGCTTGAGTACTTCTCATAAAGCGTGCAGTGACTACGGTAGGGGACACGGAGGGTGGACACGTGCCCCTCCATACAATAGGGTTTAACTCCCTACAGCATCTTTCACCTCGCGTGCATCATCCCCTCCAATACTTTGCAGAGTTAAATGCTACCGCGCAAGTGAAAGCAAAACACGAGCAGGATACTTAGCGCATCTCCGCATTTGCACAAAGAAATTAAGCAGCTGATTAATGGGGGATGCGAGGCGAGGGCGGCAGCAGCAGCCCTTGCGGAGCGGGGCCCTTACCTGGGACATCTGGGGCCTGAGGTTGATTTCCTTCAGGTTGATGGAGTGGCTGCGCAGGTTGTTGAGCAGCTGGCAGAGCAGGACCCCATCGCGGAGGGTCTGCGCCAGGTCGAACACCTGAGCCGTGGGCCAGGTCACTCGGTGGTTGTGCGGCAGCACCTTGCAGTGGATCAGCCACTGGGCGCACTGCTTCCAGGGCTCCATGCCGGGCACCAGGCGGGGAGGATGCTGCGGGCTGCAAGCGCCCGGTCCCCAAACCCAGAGAGGCAGGGAAGCCCTCGGGGCTCCGCGCCGCCGCACTGCTCCGCTCCGGCTCTTCCGAGCGCCCCGGCCCTTTGCAGAGCGCGAGCGGCAGCAGCTGCCGGGCGGCGGCGGCTGGAGAGGCTGCGTGCGAGCTTCCCCCTCCCCCTCTGCGCAGACGAGAGGATGGGCTCGGGACAGGTGCGCGCGCATTGTCCCTGGGCCGGTGGTGCACGCTCTGCGGAGGGGCCGGTGCTGTGGCGCTGCCTGCAGGGCTGGTGGCCCCGGGGCCTCGCCTTCCTAGGCAGGGCCTTCTCCTGCAGCTAGAAGCCCCTGCCAGGCAAAAGGACAAACGCGCCTCCAGCCCCGTTTCAGAGCGGGGGGCTCGTTATGATCAGGTTGGGCTGATGTACCCACTTTCCTGTAACTCTACGAGCCTGCACATTGAGCAGCCTGAACTGGTGGACAGCAGGGACCCAGCAGCCTTCTTCCCTCAGCCTTGGCTGAGGGGGGGCAGCACCAGGAATGTAGGCTCAGGCCCTGTGGGGCGGTACACCAGTAATGGAGGGTTGGTCCTCAAAATTACCATGCACCTTTTAACTCCACAGAAATGTACTGAATCGGGCCCTGCTCCTGCAGTCCTGATTAAGATCAGCAGTCTCTCTCTCGCAGGGGTGCTGGAACAATTTTAATAGTGGGGGTGCTGAGAGCCACTGAACCAAACTGTAAATCCTGTATATGATGGAAAGCACTTCAAGCCAGAGAGTGCGGCTGCACAGCTAGGGTTGCCAGGCATCCGGTTTTTGACTGGAACGCCGAGTGGAAAAGGGACCCTCGTGGCTCCGGTCAGTACTGCCAACCATGCATAGGCGCCGACTTACACTCACGCCGGTGGGTGCTCGACCCCTGCCTCTAGCCCCGACTCCGCCCCTGCCCCCATTCCAACCCCTTCCCCAAAGTCTCCACCCAACTCCACCCCCTCCCATTCCGACTCCTTCCCCAAATCCCCACCCCCGCCTCTTCCCCGCCTCCTCCCCGAGCAGGCCACATTCCTGCTCCTCCCTGCTCCCTCCCAGAGCTTGCTATGCAGCCAAACAGCTGTTTGGCAGCGGCAAGCACTAGGAGGTAGGCGGAGGAGCAGGGACACGGCATGCTCAGGGGAGGAGGTTAGATGAGGTGGGACAGGGAGGGGAGCTTGGCTGCTGCTGGATGCAGAGCACCCACTAATTTTTCCCCATGGCTGCTCCAGCCCCAGAGCACCCATGGAGTCGGCGCCTATGCGACCATGCTGTTAATAGTCCAGTCAATGGCACAGCGGGGGCCCAGGGCTAAGGCAGGCTCCCTGCCTGCCCTATCTCTGCATGACTCCTGGAAGTAGATGCCCTGCAGCCCCTACACCGGGGTGGGCAAACTTTTTGGCCCAAGGGCCACATTGGGGTGTGAAACTGTATGGAGGGCAGGTAGGGAAGGCTCTGCCCCCCCAAACAGCTTGTCCCCCGCCCCCTATTTGCCCCCTTCCACTTCCCGCCCCTTGACTGTACCCCTCAGAACCCCCGACTCATCCAACCCCCCTGCTCCTTGTCCCCTGACTGCCCCCTCCTGAGACCCCCTGCCCCAAACTGCCCCCCCTGGGATCCCACCCCCTATCCAACCCCCCTGCTCCCCATCCCCTGACTCCCCTGACCTATCCACACCCCCACCCTCTGACAGGCCCCCCCCGGGACTCCCACGCCCTATCCAACCCCCCCGATCCCTGACCCCAGACAGCCCCAGAACCTCCACCCCATCCAATCGCCCTCTGCTGCCTGTCTGTGCCCCAGGACGTCTTACCCAATCCCCCCACTGCCCCGCGCACCACCGCCGCTCCCTTACCAAGCCACTCAGAGTGTCAGGAGCTTGCAGGTTTGCTGCCCGCGCGGCAGCGTCACTGCGGAGGAGGGGAAAAAGCGGGGGAGGGGTCGGGGCGAGCCTCCTGGGCCAGGAGCTCAGGGGCCAGGCAGGACGGTCCCACGGGCTGGATGTGGCCTGTAGTTTGCCCACATCTGCCCTAGAAGCATGGACAGCAAGGGAGGCTTCATGTGCTGCCCCCACCCAGAGGCCTGGCTTTGCAGCTTCCATGGGCCGGGAACCATGATCAATGGGAGTTGTAGGAGTGGCACCTGCAGGCACGAGGGCAGCGTGCAGAGCCTTCCTGACCAGCCATGCATCTAGGGGCTGCAGGGACCTGGCGGCCACTTCCTGGGAGCCATGGTAAGTGCTGCCGGGACCCCGCACCCTAAACCCTCTCCTGCACCCCAGCCCGGAGCCCGCAGCCCTCATCTCCAGCCCCACCCCAGAGTCCGGAGCCGGCACCACCTCCTGCACTCCAAACCCCTTGCCCCCAGCCCAGAGCCCCCCATGTACCCCAAACCCCTCATCCATGGCCCCACCCCAGAGCCCACACCCCCAGCCAGAGTCCTCACCCCCCTGCATCCCAACCCCTGCCCCAGCCTGGAGCGCACTCTCCTACCCTGAACCCCTCATTTCTGGCTCCACCCAGAGCCCAAACCCCTAGCCCAAAGCCCAACCCCCCCACACACACCAATTCCTTGCCCCAGCCCTGTGAAAGTGAGTGAGGGTGGGGGAGAGCGACAAAGGGAGGGGGGTTGGAGTGAGCAGGGCCTCGGAGAAGGGGCAGGGCAGGGGTGTTCGTTTTTGTGCGATTAGAAAGTTGGCAACCTTAAGCACAGCACTCCTAGTTCCAGCACCTATGAGCTCACTGACAGGACTCAGTTCTGCTGTCAGTTATGCCAGCGTTAAGTCAGAATAACTATTGTTTTCATTTCTGTAATGCGATTGAAACCAGTGTAGTTTGAGAACAGAATTTAGCCCCAAAAGCTTAAAGGTGACCTACAAGGAAAATGAAGTGAGGTTTCTGCCTTTTGCTTCTATATAATGAATGAAGAATGCTAGAAGTTTGTTTATTGAGGCTTGCTTTTTTCCTCCCTGCTTCCCTGACATTAGAAATTCAGGTGTTCTCAACGCTGGAAGTCTCTGTTGCTGATTGAAGAACTAGTAAGATTAAAAGGACACAGAAACAAAAGGAATAATATCTAATTAAACTGAGAAGGGAAGTAATTTTTTATACAAAATATTTAAAACTTTTGGGGAGGAAAGCTCTCCTTTTTTAATTATTTTTAATTATTCAAACACTCTCCCCTCTAATTAAGGCCTTTCAGGGTTCTGAATTGATGAGTCCATCATGAAAAACAGACTCCTTATGTCCACAGAAATCAATGAGAGTTAGGTACCTTAATGTCGTTGAGGATCTGAACCAAAGTTGCTAATCCTGGTACTTCCATTTTAAAAATACAAGCAGAAAACATACTTTAGTATTAAGAGAGACGCTAGTGAGAGAAATATTTCAGGCCTCCTTTTATACATCAAAAAGAACCTGAAAGGGATACAAACTCAATTTTTTCCTTTGCGTGTCACCATTAAACATTGTAGGCTGAATTCAGCCTTCGTTACACCTGTTCAACCCCATTGGCGTCATTGGGGTTGCACAGATGTAACTCCGGGCATAATTTGGCCATATGTTTCTTATATCTGAGTCACTCATGAAATGCATTGGCCATGTGAAAAATTCTATAGAAAGCTTTAATAAATCCCATAGCATATTGTAACTTTCACTACTAAAGCCACATAGGGTGTTTGAATATGCTTAGTTTTAAGTATTGCTCATTTTAAAAAATTGAGGGTTTTTAAGATTAGAGACTGCACTATAAAAATTCAAAGAAGAAACAGAAATGATATAAATTGATAGCCATGTATTATTCTTACTCTACACTAAGAAAATATGTTATCCTCAACTTTAATATAAATTACCAGTTTATTCTGGAAGGCCATCCATAGCTGTCAATCATACACAGCAACTAAACCAGATTAGATCAATTTAAATGCTGTTGAAAAAATGAACATTAATGTAATACCTCCCAACCAACATACAGGTAATCTGAATATAAAACATTCAAATTAAACTGTTACAGTCAACCAAAATATTCTTATTTAACTATAAAACAAACAAGAATTATGACTAAGTTTTGATGGGAAACAGTACTAATATCCATCAGAGTTCACAGTACCCTCTAGGTCTACTTCTTAAAAGCCATCATTTCCTCTGGATTTCTGAGAAGGTACCTTTTATTTCCTCACAAAAGCAACAATCTAGATGACGCAAACAGTATGTTTCTGTTAATTAAAATGATATGCTTGTTTTGTAACTACAAAACTTTTTAAGAAGCACTAGTATAAAATGAAAAAAACATCTCTATCTTTTTCCTTCAATATCTAAGGGATCAGAAATTCTTCCAGCATCTTAATTTGGTTATAAACACCAGCAGGATTATATGAGATAACCCAATGCCACCTGCAATTTTCAAATGTCCTTTCTGGCACTCTTGACTCCTGTTGCTTCTTGAGGTCAGAATACTTCACCCAACCTTTTTAATAAATTATAGACCAGTTAAAATAGGTTTTTTTCCTGACAATACAGTTTTTAAAAGCTGTAACTTAACAAGAGACTTCTTTATTTTGCTAATCATAAAATTCTTTTCACATTTATATAAATATACAGTGCTTTTGGGAGTGGTGGTTACTTATGCAAGGAGTTACACTGGCATCATAGGAGTTACACGAATAAGTGCAGGTTTATCAGATGGGGTCTGGCCTGTAGCTACCTCACCATTTTGCATAACTGAGTGGGGCTGTATCTCCTACCAAAAACAAACGTAAATGTCCCTCAAAGCCCCAAGAGCAAGTAGGGTCAAACGCTAACTTTGCAATCACATTGAAGATAGTGAGATTGCACAGGTGTAATTAAGAACATATTTGATGAGAGTGGGGCGCTCAGGTGCACTTGACAGCAGCATTTGACTCTCAGTCATTATTACTGGTAATGATTTATTAACTCTACCACTATTTCCCAAGGCCGGATAAAAGGAGGATTCTGCAGCTGGATTTGCAACCCACTCAGGTACAATCTTATTGCAACAGAAATAGTTCAGTTAAACCAAAACTTGAGGACAGTAGATATAGATGGAGCTCAAAACCCAAGTATGACAGATCTCAGTGAAAGAAAAAAGGAGACTGAGATTTTGAGACATCAAAGCTTGATGATTAAATCTGTAATAAAAGT